TACTCAGGAGGCTGAGGCAGGAGGATTGCTTGGGCCCAGGAGTTTGAGGTTGCTGTGAGCTAGGCTGATGCCACGGCACTCACTCTAGCCTGGGCAACAAAGTGAGACTCAGTCTCAAAAAAAAAAAAAAAAAAAAGAAATGATGAACATGCCTCTAGCCCTCGCTAGGGAGAGGCAAAGACAGAAAATGTAACCAAAATGTTTGTGCCCTCATAATACCCTGAAAAAAATAATTATGAAAATTTGCCAGTTTTATTTTACCTATTTCTGTGTCTCCCTCCCCTCCCCCCTTCCTCATGTCTCTGCTGGAGAATTCTAAAGCCACCCCAGACTTTGTATCATTCTGTTTGTAAATGTTTCATATGTCTCTCTCACAGATGAGACTTATTAAAAAAAAAACCAAAAAATGAAAAACATAGCCATGCTACTCCTATTATGCTTCACATAATGATGATAATGCTTAATGTCATCCAGTATCCAGCCTGTGCTCAGATGCTACTGATCGTAGAGAAACGAATGAGTAGAGAAGGTGTGTTTGCAGGAGGCCAGCACATGGGCCCAGGCGGTGGTGGGGCTGTCGTGAAGTAGAGAGAGACGCATGCACTTTTCTTTTTTGCCATGCTTTTCCTTGCACTGAATGACTCAGTTTTGTAGGAAGCGATTAAAGTGAATGGTTAAATTCTTGGGGGACAAGCAGCCTTACCTCCTAGAATTCACCACCCTGGCAGGCTGGCTGGGGAGAACAGATGTAGTGCCCCTAGTGGTGATGGACTTTATACAGGGAAAATCCACAAGTCATTGCTCCACTCCCTGCACACATTCTCAGTAGCTGGGACTACAGGCATGCGCCACCATGCCCGGCTAATTTTTTCTATATATATTAGTTGGCCAATTGATTTCTTTCCATTTTATAGTAGAGACGGGGTCTCGCTCTTGCTCGGGCTGGCTTCAAACTCCTGACCTCGAGCAATCCGCCTGCCTCAACCTCCCAGAGTGCTAGGATTACAGGCATGAGCCACCGCGCCCGGCCAGTGTTCATCATTTCTAGTCGGAGTCCTGGGTGCACGATGGGCCGTGATACCAGTCCACTTTGCGTATGTTTGAAATGTTCTGCGACACAAAGTTTTTGTAAAAGTACACGAACATAATTTTGCTACAGATCCAAAACTGCTCTAAAATATAAAGTCTGCTTTTTTGAAAAAAAAAAAAAAAACAAACGAGTAAAAAAGTCACTGAGACTCAAATGATATAAATAAAAACTCCACGTAAATATTCATGCACATATGTACACACACACACACACACACACACACAGATCTACACACGATTCTGAGAGGGAGGGGCTCTCCTCCCCGTTGCAAGAGGAGGAAACTGGGCCCCGTCCGAGGCTATGCAGCCAGCAGAGCAGCGGTCCCCAACCTTTTTGACACCAGGGACCGTTTTCATGGAAGACAACTGTCCCACGGACGGGGGGAGGCGGAGGTGGTTTGGGGATGATCCAAGCGAGTGACATTTATCGCGCACTTTATTTCTGTTGTCATTACACCGTACCGTACCATGAAATAGTAATTATGCGACTCAACGCAAGTTGGGGACCCGTGTGGGAGAGGACTTCGGGCCACCCTCACTGTGGCCCTGCGGACACTCGGGGCTGGGCAGGCGTCTGTCGTGGGGGCTGCCCTGCGTGTCGCGGGATTTTCGGCAGCACTCGCGTCCGCCGGTGGTGACGACAACCAAAGATCGACTGCCCAGTGTCGCTGGGGACACCATCACTGCCCACCACAAAACTCCTCTGACTCTGCGGCTGGGTGGGAGCCGCATGCAAGTGCCATGCAGGGAGACGCCCTCGTGCCACTTGTTCAGGGACGAGCGTGCTACTTTGTCCCCCCAGGGGCCGCAGGCCCGGTCATTCGAGTCACGCGCTCCCATCGCTCAGCGACGGCTCCCCGTAGGCGACACTGGAGGTGACACTGGAGGAGCCACAGCCAGCCAGATGGCGGCGTGCCCGCCCTCAGGCCCTGCCCTGGAATATCTCCCTGTCCTCAGTGTGTGCAGGACGCCGCCCTCCCTCCTGAGTGCCAGTGGCCCCGGACAACAGGCTGGAGTCCCCGGCGTCAGGCAGAGGACAGTCGACCCATGGACACAGGTGGACAGGGGAACATGGTAGCGGCAAGGTGAGAACTGCCCCCTCACCTGCTGTTCATGTAGGAGAAACCTCTGGAAGTCGTGCAGGTACACAGCGGAGGCGTCCGGCCGGTCGGTGTTCCTGTCCTCGGGGAAAGCGATGGCAGTTAGGGACACACGCACTCAACAGAGGCGCCAAGAGGAGACGCCAGTCACCTTGGAGCGAGCACAGGCCATGACAACCAGGGGCATTTTCCACTGGAAAGGAGGGACCCTCCGCTGGGAACAAGGCATGGCTCCCGCCCCGAGGCCGCAGTGGCTGGCGACAGCCTCAGGGAGAAGCCACCAACAACCAGGCCCTCGCTGGGCTGGCTCCGGCCACCCCTGGCTTGTTTGGGAAGCCCATTCTGCAGGACGGGGCTTCCCGGGGGAGATGGGCACCTTTCCCTGAGCATTTGCAGAGGGACGGGGAAAAGAAATCTTTCAAAAGTATCACAGAAGATAAAACACGCCTTAAGCTTTCTCCCTTTGATCAACACTCAGGGCCCAGCAGTCTGTCCTCTTTAATGATGAGGGTGTTTCCAACCTCCTTGCCCATTGGCTTTGTGGTCTAACACTAAGGTTTTCATTAAAATACTACTTAAAAATTAGATTTGTTCTATATCTGCTTTGGAGTCTTGGGATTTCTAGTTTGGAAAGTGCCAGAAGGAAATAGTCGCTCATCAGTGAGGGCTGGGTCCAAGGCGTCACGTTCTGGGTGCCACTAACTCCGTGGCTAACATCTCTCAGGCTCAGGAAACACGGAACATCTCATACATGCCCCGCTTCGGGAATCAATCATAAAGCATAGGAAAGGCCCTGACAAGTCCTGCAGCACTGACTTTTTAGTAATCACATGACTCCTTATGAACCCATGGGGTGTGCCAAACACCGTGTGAAGCATTTTATACGCTTCAGCTCATTGCAATTCAGCTAAACCTGATTACTCAGGACTTTCCCAGACTTACATGACTATTAACATTCCTTTGCTTTCTCTAAAAAAAAAAACCTATCAACGTGTCATGTTCCGTGAGGCACGTTCTGGGACAGGAAGCCTTGAAGAACGCAGGCTTCTCTATGGAACCTTCTGGGCCATCCTCAAACACTGACAAACAGCATCTCTGCTGTTCATATCTACCCAAGACACAGGCGTGGGATGGCCAACCCCCCAACAGGGGGCCCCCGTCTCTGTGGACATCAGCCACTGCACAGGGTCACCCCCTCCTGGAGCCGTCTGCCAGCCCCACCCGAGGGCCCCGGTGTCCAGCACGCCCCGCCCCACAACCCCACACACGAGGCTCCTCACCCCAGGATGAACACCGAGGAATCCTTCTTGAATTCATCAAGAATCTGAAATGGGAAACAGAAGGAAACACACACACACACAACAGGAGAACGGTTAGACAAGTCACTTGATGCAAATGAAGAGATTGCTGCTGCTAAAAAGTTATCACTGTAATCTGCAATGGGTGTGAATGGCCAACTGTAACAGAAACTTTGGAAGCAAAAGACAGAAGTCTCCCTCACCCCCCTCCCTAAGTCCTCCCTCCCTAAGTCCTCCCTCCCTAAGTCCTCCCTCCCTAAGTCCTCCCTCCCTAAGTCCTCTTCTTGACAAGTGATCACTCTTAATGATTTGGTCGGTTTCCTCCTAGCATTTGTTTTACGGGCATTCATTTAATGATACTTTGTCGCATTGTGTCACTTACATACATCTTGCAACTTTTCGCTATTGTTTCAAGTTTAACATTATTCTGCAACCTAGAATAGCCCTGTCTCATGACTTTGAAAAACCATACTGTATTCCACAATTTGCATGTCATTCAATTTTTCTGTTATACTCAGTATTATTTTTTAAATGCTCATGTGTGTGTATATATATCAATAGACAGACATCTATACAGATAGATGCATAGATAGATAGACAGACAGACAGATAGATGGATGGATGTGTGTATACACACACACACACACACACACACACACACACACACACACACACACACACCCCTTTGCCCACATGAGCCAGTTTTTCTGCAGGGCAGACTCCCAGAAGAGAAAGCGCCTATGCGTGGGCCGGGCACATTAACTGAAAAACCTGCCCGGTTGCTCTCAATGCAGTTGAGAATGCACCGCCAATGGCGTACATACACCCTATCCTGTACTTCAGGGCTACATTCCAAATCCTTAATACCTGAAAGATGACATTCCTAATCTTTGCATCCAAGAGGAAGACAGACACATCAAATAGCTGCGGCTCTGCTCTCCTTTCACTCATCTGTAACTTACAGCATAGCTATTTCTTTCTTTTCTTTTTTCTTTTCTAAGAGATGGAATCTTGCTCTGTCACCCAGCCTGGAGTGCAGTGGTGTCATCACAGCTCACTGAAACCTCAAACTCCCGGCCTCAAGCAATCCTCCCTCCTCAGCCTCCCAAGCAGCTAGGACTACAGGCATGCACCACCACACCCAGCTAATTTTTTAAATTTTTTGTAGAGACAAGATCTTGCTATGTTGCCCAGGCTTGTCTCAGACTCCTGGCCTCGAGCTCAGCTTGTGGCTCACCCTTACTGGCCACCCCAACTGCAGTTTTTAAGCGGCTCATTCCTTTATATCCCCTTCAATGAAGCACAGCAAAAGCCCCACCCCCTCCCCCACTCAGGGAGCTGGAACGATGGGGGGTGGGGACACCAGGACACAGATGCTGCCAAGAGCCACAAGAGTTAGCGAGGTCAGAGCAAACGTCTGTTTTATGAACCACTATGCCCTCGAGGGTCATGCGAACACTTATTGGACGAATGACCAAAATAATGAACAAATAACTTTTATCTTGTAGCTAAGAGGCTGCAGGGAAAGATGCAACCTTTGAGCTGGGTCCCAGGAGAAGAGGAAGTTGCCAGGTGGAAGAGGAGAAGGAACACGCATGCCACAGCCAGGGGCTGCAGTAGCAGGGGCCAGGGCACTGAGGGCCACCCGAGGCCAGGGAAGGGCGTTTTTCCAGGTGGCCGGGGGCAGACACACTGTGGGAGTCATGACACTTATAACACTCACTGGCTGCCTCTTAGCAGGTTGTAGGAACCATCTGGTTCCAGACAGCCAACAGCAAGATCGCGGTAACAGAAAAGCTAACCAGAGGCTCTGGCTTCTGTGCTGGTGACTGTCCTCTTCCCCCCCAGCCACTGCCCACTGGGACAGTCTGCACCTGCCCTGAGCTCCTCCACCAAAATGCCACCACGGGATGCCAATCACTCATTCCCGCATGTTCACATTGTAGAAAATCTGGAAGAATAATCACCCAACTTCTCACTGAATGCATAATTCTCAGCTACGACCAAAATTTTCATTTCTATTTTTATTTGTAAGCATCTTATGTTTTTATTGGATGAGTGTTCTAAGCATGGGGGGCTTCGAGAGTCTGATTAAGTGACAGTATTGAGGGATGAAGTCATACAGTGTGTGACGTTTGCCTCCAAATCACATGAGAACAGGGTTGTGGGTGAGGGCAGGAACAAGTTGGTAATTGCTGGAGTTGGCTGATGGTATATGTGGGTTCCTTATGCTATCACCTCTATTTGTATATGTATGTTTGAAATTTTCCTTCATACAAAAGTTTCAAACATTAAAAAGTATTCACTGGCTGTGTATCGAAGCTGGACAGGAGAACTCAACTCCTAGCTCTGTAACTCATCAGTGGCATGAGCTCCAACAAGTAACCTCTCTGCGCCTCAGTTTCTTCATCCATAAAATGGGGATAATAACTGCGCCTCTTTCATAGGGCTCTGAGGAGAATTAAATGTATGTAAAATGCTCAGCCCAGTGCCAAGCAAATAGTCCACCTAAGGCGATTTAGCTATCGTCTTCATCAATAATAGTTATCACAGCCTAGTTAGGGGTCTATCCCAACATCCAGAGGCACACACGAAATTAAATTTCTTAACTTCCAGCTGCCACCAAACTTTTGGAAACTTTGAGGCTTGACAACTGCTGCACAGGCAGGTGGTCAGACACAAGGAGGAACTGGCAGCCTCAAGTTGGAAACCACTGGCACGAACCCACTCCCTGAATTTTAGGTCTGAGGACCATGAGTCAACTACCAACAGCTCTGTCTGCCCAGAGGCCTGAGAAGTCCAGCAGGGACCCCCTTCCCACAGGTCACAAGGCTGACACTTTTCTCTGCCCTTTGTCTCCGAAGAGGAGCTCAGGATATAAGCAATCTGCTAACAAGTTAGGGGACGGGCATTATCCTACACGAGAGCAGTGAGAAACTATATAGGCTGGGACTTTGTTATTCAAATTCTAAGTCCCTGAATTTAAAAATGCAGGGGCCAAACAGGAGAGCTAGTCCCTGGAATGGTGGAGATTATACAGTTGCCAACTCCAACTTCTTTGCAGTCAAGTAGGTAAGGTGAAAGAGTACAGAGTGCAGACGGTTCCATGGGGAACTGTGACCCATTTATAGCCAGTTTTCGTTTTTTGTTTTTTTTTTCAAAAGAAGCCAGAAAATCTGAATTTTAATATATGAGCTCCCATATATTAAAATTGCCCAATTATAGGCAATTTATAATTGGGCAATTGCCCAATTATAGGCAAAAATTAATTGCCCAAATATAGGCAATTAATTTTTAAGCTATTTAAACCAGAGGCAGGCCAAGTACAACCGGCTATAGAGGCGCAATGTGGCATTCTGACCAGCAGGGGGCAACCTTTGACACAGCTGCAATTTTCCCCTGTGAAGTTCCACACTGGGCAGCCTAGGTACGTACCCAAGAGGGTTCAGGAACGCTGCAAAACTCTGATTTCTTTCTCTCCCCACAAATGCAAACACACACACACTAGCCTCAAAAAGAAGCGTAATTAAAAGTACAGGTTGAAATATATCTCATGTGAATTTGCCCACAGTGGAGAACATCAGTGGACCCGAACCTGTGCTAATAGGTAAGCTAGTGTTTTGTGCAAACCTTATTCTCAAGCTTTGCCTGCCATCTCTCTGGCAGAACAGCATCCTGAAATTTCAAGGCAAATTATCATAAAGACTGTTATTTGCAACTACCAGTCTTGAGTGAATCAAGCTTTTCGCACTCCTGGTCAATTGCATAAGAGAGCAATTGTCATCATTCCAAATTTCATACGTACACTGTCATCAAAACATTTACATTGTTCCCAACGGCTGACTATAAATAAAAGTTAGAGATTTTAACCTAAAACAGTATTTTCATCTGCTTTTATGAAGCACAGGTTTTTGTTAAGGTTTCATGTTTAAAGGGAGGGATTTTATCATTTTTAAAGTGTTATGATCATTGATCTGATTTAATACCTTCATGTCACAGAAAAGGCTGAGAGAGAGGAAGGAGATGCCTTCTCCCAACATCACTTGGTCAGTTAAATGTCAAGTCAGGGATAGAATTCAGTCCCTCCAACTCCCAAGCCCACAACAGAGTCTTTCTACTCTATCTGACAAACCAAAAACTAATTTATTATATATGTGAAAAAGTTAACACATTGCAATTGAATTTTTTATACTCCATAAAATGTGTTTTCCCCCAATCCAGGCAGACAGAAAAATGCTCCTCCTATTTCTCTACCTCGGCTACACCCCAAGCCCCATGGTCAGTAGTCACGCATCAAGCAGCCTCAGCACATGGCCAGCCTGCAGCCCTGCATGCAGAAGGCAATTAATAACTGTCTTCTAGTACCACTCACACTTAAAAATGCCTGCACTCACAACTCCCAGTCTCTCATTCAATCCTTCCCAGCGTCCAGTGGGTTGGGTATCACCCCTTCCCATTTCACAGATGAGAAGACCGAGTCTAGGAGCAGTCAGTGGTTTGCCCAAGATCACACAGCTACTCGGAGAAAACAGGTCCATCTGGCTCCATGTCCCACAGACTCCCTGCTCCCCCACAGCTCCCCCTTGGAGCTCCTTTGCAGTCTGCAAAACCCTTTCCCAAAAGTCACAGCAGCGGCTCCTATTTGTTGACTGCGTGCCACCCACCAGGCACTGTGCTCCATGCACTGCACAGGATGGCCCCACTTTTTAAGTCTTATGAGACTTTTTTGAATTGCAAAACTAATATGCTACCTGCAACAAGTCAGAGAAAACTGAGCTGTGCAAAGAAAAAGTAAATTACCTCTCCTGTCCATCTTCCCAATGCACACACAAAATCAACATTAAACATGAGGGATGTACGCTCCCACACTTTGTCCTTGCTCATAAAAATACGTGCAAACATACATAACAGGATTATTGCGTTTTGAGCTCTTTAGCAAAACATCAGACCTAGCTCCTCGTGTGAACCTGCCACTGGCTTCCCTCACAAAATATCACAAACATCCTCCCAGATCAACAGAAACAGAAACGATGGGGGCTCCTCAGTCAGCTGCATGACATTGAATAACACGGACAGACACAAGTTACCAGCTGTGCCTAGGCTAAGGGGTATTTCGATGGGCCCCAAGCATTTAGCCAGCACGAGTAATGCTGCAATAAACTATCTGATAATACACTTTTGAGTCCCCAAAATGCCACTGTCAGTTCAAAATGTATGCACATCTTCATTTTAAAATAACCTATTATTTTAATCAAAAATATGTCCTCATAAAAATATGCATAAACATATAAAAGGAAGAAACACGTACCTAATTAATAATTTGCTAAATTCCCTTTCAGAATGGGATAAGACAGTAGAGTTAGTTGCAATTTTTTACTTTAATAGACTCAGATCAAATTCCAATCAAACTTAGGCCATTCCCATTTCTACCAGGAGGGAGGTGGTCAAACTCCACTTCCCCACATTTGCCCATAGCCCCGTCACAGTGCAAGATTTCTGCCAATCTCATAGGGGAAAGTGGAATGTTGCTGGCATTCCCATTTATGTTTCCTTGATTGAAAGGGAGATTTACACAGTCCTTGTGGGTTTCTTAGGAACATGCCAGACCTTGAAATATGTGGAAAATGGAAACATCATGTGATCATTTGCTCAAGAATCATCTTACCGATTTCTGCTGTTCAAACATGAGGTTTTTATAGAAGAGATGGAACTGTTCAAAGCTGAGCTCATCTTTGTGTGCACCCATTTCCTGTAAATATATTTAAAAAAAAAAAAGTGACCGCATGATATTTGAAGTCCACTGTGAGAATGCCTCCACCCTGTTTGCAGGAATAAAATGGCTTTTCTACAACATTGGCTAAAATCAAACTCGCATCCCTCTGAATGGAAACCAACCACATGTTTCCTAATTCACCCGCCTGGGGGAAAATGCTCACAGGGACCCTCTCTTGAGCCCAAAAGGGAAGAGTCTTAGCCAGGTTCCCAAGAGCCATAATGCGTAACTCCTCCTTTTTCAGGCAAAAGACACTCTCTTTGGATTTCCAAAGCCAGGCATATTTGTAGGTCATATATACAGATAGGTCATTTTTTTAAAGCATAAAAAAGAAATCTGACCCAGGCTTTGGGGTCAGGCAGAGCTCAGCATCGATCAACTGCTTCATGACATTGGGCAGTTTCCTTGACCTTTTCAGGCCCTCAGTTTCTTTATCTGTAAAATGGGAGAACCACCACTATGCTCCTGTGGCTTCCCCAGAACTAAACAAGGTAATATCTACAAAACGTCTGGCTCAGTAAATACTTGATAGAAAAAAAAAAAAAAAAAACTCGGTTATACAATGATCAATCGTAAATGCTTCTCCTATCTTTCTTCTCTTCTTAAATCCCATCTTTTCAATTTTTTTTTCTTTCATACTTGGATTAGTGTGGAATAATGGGGGCAGGTCAAAGGATGCTTAATAAGCAATTATGGGCTAGGCGCAGCAGCTCACGCCTATAATCCTCGCACTCTGGGAAGCCAAGGCGGGGCGGATCGCCCAAGGTCAGGAGTTCGAAACCAGCCTGAACAAGAGCGAGGCCCCCATCTCTACTAAAAATACAAAGGAATTAATTGGCCAATTAAAAATAGAGAGAGAGAAAAAATTAGCCGGGCATGGTGGTGCATGCCTATAGTCCCAGCTACTTGGGAAGCTGAGGCAGGGAGTCTGAGGTTGCTGTGAGCTAGGCTGATGCCACGGCACTCACTCTAGCCTGGGCAACACAGTGAGACTCTGTCTCAAAAAAAATAAATAAATAAAATAAGCAATAATGTAAGCCAACTTTTCTGGGAGCTCATCCATACAAAACTGAACGAGCTTTTTCATATTATTTTCCAGAAGACACACATGTGTTCACGTTACTAGGGAGAAAATGGGCGGCAGGAAGGTCGGGGAACCGGGGAACGCAGAACTGCGGGGAACAGATATGAGCTCACGTGTTCCAAGTCAAACTGCTCAGCAAACTCGGTCTCCACTGATTCCATCATCGACTAGGATGGAGAACACGGTCCTCAGATCTACACACGGGCCCTCTGTCTGGACCAAGAAGCACCCGGGAGGCAGAAGACCTTCTCGGGCAGCATTCCACGGAGCTCAAGGGCACAGGATGGCTTCACGAAGTAGCCCCGAGTTCGTAAATTTCCCAGGCTGAGCTACGGAACTTACCACCAGCTTGTCTTTGAGGAACTTGGCGCTGCTCACTTTGAAGTTGACCAGGGGCAAGATGGTCTTCAACTCCCGGAGGCTGATGCTGCAAGAAAGGGAGACCCCGGCTCTGTCACTCCAGAGGGTCCTCCTCTGCAGCGGACGGTCACTGTCCCCTCAGGCGTCCCTCTATAGGAGAGCCTGGCCAGAGGCCGTCCACGGAGCACTAACTAGGAACAAGACACCCCGGGTTCAAGGTGGAGGTGACACCCCAGTAAGCAAGGCTGGTCCCCCCCACATTGAGACACGGCCACGGAGGCAGGTCACGCAGGAGACTCGGTGTGGACAGAACGCAGTGTCAGATGACCCAATAAGCCCAGGTACAAAACCCCACGAGGATCACAAAGGCCGTGGCAGGTGTTGATGTGACTGATTTCTGCACAGAGCTCCGAATGTCAGCGTGAAGAAACTCAACACGGGCGCAGGGCACGGGCTGGAGTGGCCGAGACTCTCTTACGTAGCCAAATGCCTGGTCATCTCATTACAGACACGCACAAATGCATGAAGGAGATTCCCACCGTCCCTGCCTGGGATCCAGCAAAACCACAGCCACCGGGATGGCTGTGACCCAATCAGAGGGAAAGAAGACCCTGCTGGGCTCGGCTGTGACCTGGCACGGTGAGGTGACCAGAGAGGTGTGGTGAAAGTGAGGGTCCCCAGTGCCCCATCTTCCCCCAAAATCAATAAGTAGAAAATAAAGTGTTTTTTTTAAAGACCACAGGGGGGCCGGGCGTGGTGACTCACGCCTGTGATCCTAGCACTCTGGGAGGCCAAGGCAGGCGGATCGCTCAAGTTCAGGGTTCGAAACAAGCCTGAGCAAGAGTGAGAACCCGTCTCTACCATAATAGAAGAAATAATTGGCCAACTAATATATAGAGAAAAATAGCCGGGCATGGTGGCGCGTGGCTGTAGTCCCAGCTACTGGAGGCTGAGGCAGCAGGATCGCTTGAGCCCAGGAGTGTGAGGTTGCTGTGAGCTAGGCTGACGCCACGGCACTCACTCTAGCCTGGGCAACAAAGCGAGATTCTGTCTCAAAAAAAAAAAAAAAAAAAAAAAGACCACAGGGGTTCAAAGCCAGGTGAGGTCACCAAATGCCAGAGAGAGAAGGAGGTGGGAAGGAGCAGACCCTATCTGAGCACCTACTGTGTGTCAGGCAGCCCTGGTGTCGTCCAGGCAGTAACGTCACCTAACCTCGCCACCTTCTGCCCCGTACAAAGCACACACGACGGACCCCCCGGCCCCAGGTACAGAACAGGCAAGGGCAGGGTGTCACGGGTGTGTGTGTCACAGGCGTGGGTCAGGGGTGAGGGGTTCAAGGTCAGAGCAGGGCCACTGCTGAGCCTGGATCTGGATCAAATTCTACAACACGCAGTCACAGGAGCAGAACGGCTGCTCACGGAAACCATACCGAGCCAGGGGGTAAGGCTCAGTTAGGAATGAAAGGGAAGGAGGACAGACCCGGGCGAAAGGCATCAGAATAGTAGCAGCCCCAGAAGCTGGAACTTAAACAGAGCTCATGAGCCGCGGGAGCTGCCGGTTCTTCGTCTACGCACACGAACTTGTTTAATGCTTAAACCACGTTACAAGGTAGGTAGGTACCCTCATCACCTCCACCTTCCGAGGGTCCAGGAGGTCTAATACCTTTTTTCTCTGCTGCACTCAGACTCCAGCCCCATCTGCCTGCAATTCCCACACCCCAGATAAGGAATCTGCATGATCTACATAAGGACTATTCCATCATGTTAAATATTTTCCAAAAGACAAACGCGTGTGTGCGTGTTACTAGGACAAAGACAGGCTGCGGGACGGTCAGGGAAACGAGGAGAGCGGGACCGCCTCCCGGGGAGCAGCGCCCATGACGAGACACGCCCAGAGAGCTGGGACTGGGGGGTGGGCTGAGGGTGCGAGATCCAGACCCTTCTGGCTGGAGAGCTGAGTGTCCGGCAGAGCTGGAGAGGGAGGCCAAGAAAGGAAGCCCACCCCAGGCCGCGGACAGAACACAGCCCTGTTTCCCAATGCCACCCACTCGGCCTCTGCCATCACATTCAGAAGGAGGCAGCATGTCACTGTCCCCCAGCTGTCCCTGCAGTCAGGCCAGCATGAGTGCTGGCCGTCCCAGTGTCCCTCCTCCAGCCAGCTTACCTCTGGTCCTCACAGGCTCTCTGATCTAAGAGACCTTGGCCAGCAAGATCCCCCTCACCCACGCCTTCCGCTGGGGCAGTGCCAGTGGCTTTCACAGGTGGGATTGAGAGCAGAAAACCGGGCAGGGAAGTGGCCCGAGGTGGGGGACGGGGGCGGGGGGAGCCCAGGACAGGACAGGACAAAGGTGGAGGGGCAGCGGAGACTGGTGATGCCAAAGAGGCAGGTGGGGGCTGGACCAGGCTGGCAGCACAGTGGCCTCAGCCTACGAGCAGGGAAGAGCTCAGACCCCTCAGGAGCCCAGGCTGCAACAGGGCGAAGAATACATCCCACGTCCGGGAACAGAGAGACTGCGGGGCTGGGCAGCCAGTGTGGCTGTTCAGGGACCAGCAGAGCAAACCTGGGGCACAAGCACCTGAATACCCGAGACAGGGGAGCCCACCTGGTTCAAAGGTCTCACCTTAGAGTGCACGAGTCGGGGACCCAGAGCTTCTCTGGGCTCCTGGTGCCAGGACTGCCCCACCCCACTCCTCTAGGCAAGCCCCTTCCTCACTCCCGCATCTGGCCAGCACAGGGTGCAGAGTCCCCAGCGCTGGAGGGGGGAAAGCCAGCAGTCCCACCCCTCTCCAGGACTTGCCACCAATGGACAGAGTGGCCTCACCCAAGGTCACAGTCCCCTCCTGGGCAGCCAGTGTCCAGCGCCTGGTCCATGCGTGGGAACTGGGGCCTGGCGTCAATTAGGCACAGCTACGCATGGCCATCCCCATGGGGTCAGCTGAGGCCATGGCTGTGACTCCCCTGCCGCTCGCAGGTGTGGACTCCCCACGAGCTCCCAGCAGCCTCCTGCATACACGCCTCCGTCTCAGGTCACGTGTCCTGGGGGCTCCCCTGGGACCGTGGGTGAGGAAGCGGGGCAATCCCTTGGGGGAAGGATGGGAAAACTACTCCCGCAAGGGGCCACCAGGAGCCCCTCTGTCTCCCAGGGCGGACGGCACTAAACAATCATGGTGCCGTCCCTCCGCAGCCCGGGGAGGGCGCCGGGCCCCTTCCATGCCGCACCCCAGGCAGCCGTTACCAATGCATCAAAGCTGGCAGCCCCGTGAAACTTACATGCCACCCTGACGCTGCACACACTCCCCCGCCACCCCTAGCTCTTACAACAGCAATGACAACAATGAGCATTTGTTGAGCGTTCGCCACAAGCCAGGCTCTGCCCAAGCACTTTTCACATCTGAACTCGCTGAACACCCACCCAGGCCAAGAGGTGGGGACTGGGATTCTCTCTCCCTTACACACGAGGACAGTGAGGCCCAGAGAAACTCAATCGTTTGCCCCAGTTCGCACCACCAGTCAGTGTTGGAGCTGAGAGCCCAGCCTCAGCACTGCCCGACGGAACCTTCTAGAATGATGGGAACGTTCTGCATCCGTGCTGTCCCACGCTGCAGCCACGAGACACACGTGGCTGCTGAGCCATGTACCGGGTGTGGCTGATGAACTATTTTTTATCTTGTTTTAATTAACGTAGCTTAAACAGCCACGTGTGGCGAGCGGCTCCCCGACCGGAGAGCGAGGCTCTAGGGTCCAGCTTCCCCAGGCAGCTCCCAGCCGGCAGCAGCTGGAACACAAATTCTTGGGCGGCACCCCAGAAACTGTGGAGGTGGAGCCTTCATCTTAACAAGCCCTCCAGGGCACTCTCCTGCAAGCTCCAATTTGACTTTGCTGTCTAGAGAACCCTAGCCTGAGATCCTGTCTTCAGAGTAGAATCCATCCATCCATCCATCCATCCATCCATCCATCCATCCATCCATCCATCCATCGAGACAGTCTTACTCTGTTGCCCAGGCTAGAATGCCCTGGCACCAGCCTAGCTCACAGCAACCTCCAACTCCTGGGCTCAAGCAATCCTCCTGCCTCAGCCTCCCGAGTAGCTGGGACTACAGACATCTGCCACCATGTCCGGCTAATTTTTTCTATATATATTAGTTGGCCAATTAATTTCTTTGTATCTTTAGTAGAGATGGGGTCTCGCTCTTGCTCAGGCTGGTCTCGAACTTCTGAGCTCAAACGATGCTCTCACCTCAGCCTCCCACAGTGCTAGGATTACAGGCGTGAGCCACCACGCCTGGCCCTGGAATCTTTTTAAAAATGTCCAATGCCCAAGACACCATGCCCAGGACAAAAGAATCAGAATCCCCACAGTTCCTCGGGCAGTTCCAACCTAGGAGCCTGAGCCGTCGGCCACGTGCAGCCCATCTGCAGTCAGGCTGAAGGCGCTCGGGGGACCCACTCACCTGCGCCCACCTGCCACGCGCACACCCCCCGCACCATCTCTGAGACAAACTCAGTCCTCCCTCCGGCCCCGTGTGGGGGCTTAGGGAGAAAGGGAAGCGCACGTTCTGCTGATGCAAATGCAATGGTGTATGCCAAGCAGGCAAGGGCAGGGGAGAGAGAAAAAACAAGCGCCGCGGTGAGGATGTGGGAATGCCCAGCCACTGTGCAAAACAGTACAGCAGTTCCTCAAACACTCAACAGCATCACCATGGGATCCAGCAATTCTACTTCTGGGTATAGACACAAAAGAACCGAGAGCAGAGACACGAGCAGATATTTGCACGCTCATTTTCATAGCAGCATTATTCATAACAGCTGAAAGGTGGACGCCACCCAAGTGTCCATAGATGGATGAACAGATAAAAGAGATGCGGTAGATACATACGGTAGAACATCATTCAGACTTAAAAAGGAAGGAAATTCTAACACATGCTACAATGTAGATGAACCCTGAAGACATTATACCAAGTGAAACTAGCCGGATACAAAAGGACGAATGTTGTATCGTTCCACTTATGTGAGGTACCTAGAGTCATGGCATGTGCACAGCAGAGAGAAGGACGGTGGTTCCCAGGGGCTGCAGGGGGCAGGAACAGGGACTATTGTTTCATGGGGACAGAGTCTCAGTTTGGGACGATGAGAGAGTTCTGGAGGTGGATGGTGGTGATGGGGGCACACACCAGTGTGCATGGCGGGTGGATGGCTCAAGGTCAGAAGTTCGAAACCAGCCTGAGCAAGAGCGAGACCCTATCTCTACTAAAAATAGAAATAAATTAATTGGACTAAAAATATATAGAAAAACTAAGCCGGCCATGGTGGTGCATGCCTGTAGTCCCAGCTACTCGGGAGGCTGAGGCAGGAGGATCGCTTGAGCCTAGGAGTTGGAGGTTGCTTGACTAGGCTGACACCACGGCACTCAGCTGGGCAACAAGTGAGACTCTGTCTCAGAAAAAAAAAAAAAAACAAGTGTGCATGTACTTAATCCTACAGAATGATAAACCTAAGAAGGGTTAAAGTGATAAATTTCATGTGTATTTGACCACCATAAAACAAATTTAAAACTCTGTTGAATTTTTTTAAATCATAAGGTGATCGGTCAGGGTGGGGAAGGGAAGATTTCTGCATTTCCCCAGCTCTCGATAGCACAATTTAAAAAAAAAGGAAGAAGAAGAAAGGAAAAGCAACATCAAGCAGTGACAGCGGGTCTACAAACCCTGGTGCCACCCCTGCCTGACAAGCTGGGTTGCTTTAACCAAGTTACTTAACCTCTCTGGGCCTCAGCGTCCCACCTGTGAAATGGGTCCAAGAGCACCTGCTCCCCAGGCAGCCTCGGGTGCTCCCCAGAGTGTGAGGTGCTCCCCGCAGCCCAGGCTGCAAAGCAAGTTCTCAGCGGATGCCGGCCGCTGCCATCCTGCCTCTAGCAAAGCTGCAAAATGCAACAGGGCGCTGGGGCCAAGCAAAACACCTACGGCTCTGGCGCTGCCCGGGCTGGGCCCTGTCCGCGCCCGCCTCCCCCTCGCTCGGTCTGTCCTCTGCTTCTGTCGCCCCTTTGTTTGCCTTCAGGAAACGCGCCTGGCCTGGCCGTGGGCAGCAGGAAAGGGAGGGGAGGGGGCTGGCGCAGCATTCGCTAGCTGCTCTGTCCCTGGCACCTGGGTCACAGTTCCTTTGGAAAAACTCCCTCCAGGGCTCCGAGAAGCAAAGGTGGCATTTGCCACGTGTTGACAGAGCGCAGGGCTGCGCCCGCCCGGGGGCAGGGGGAGGCGGTGAGCACGCAACAAGGAGCCCGGGGCCAGAAACGGGGCTTCCTCTCCTCGGAGGGTCCCGGAGCAGCCCCCCGTTCCCGGGAAGATGGTCCTCCACGCCAGGCTGGCAGGAGCCCCCCACCCGCCCGAGCAGGAGGTCACGAGGGAGGCCCCCACCTCGCCGTGACCACACAGACGGACAGAGAGGCAGACTTCAGAGCCAGACCAAGCAACGGCGGACAGGGTGGCTCCCTGTCCTCTCCCTGTGCCAATCTCAACTGTGAGTCACCAAAGCCGCGGAGGGAAAAAAAAAAAAAACACAACTCAGAGGCGGCACCACCTCCAAGGCTGAAAGAGACTAGTGTGTACAGAACCTTCCAGCACAGGCGGCTCATCGGACCCGCTCGGAACATCAGAGGGTAGCCCGGCTCGTAGGATCAGATGGTAAAGGTCGGGTGAGAGGAAGAGGAGGGAGAGGAAGGCAGGTGGACAGAAAAAACATGGCGTGAGCCGCTGGCTGACCTAACATCACTGGGTTTTCAACCACCTCCTGGTTAAAAGCTCCAAGTCCTTCCTCGGGCACGTGTAGAGCAATGGGGAAGGCATGCCCCAACTCTGAAGTAGACACGTGACACAGGACACGCCAGACACAAAGCCACCGTAAGGATGGAAAGACCTTCCGGAGCGAAATGGGAGGGCTGGTGGAGTCTGGTTGTTGCCTCCTTTATGGTACTGACATAGCTGAACCAAGAACGGGTGAAAGGGAAAATGTCTTCCCAAAGAAAATAATATCTAATGTGAGGCTGACATGGGACGGGGACTTTAAAACACTTAGCACCGGGCCGGGCACGGTGGCTCAAGACTGTAATCCTAGCACTCCGGGAGGCTGAGGCGGGAGGATCGCTCGAGGTCAGAAGTTTGAAACCAGCCTGAGTGAGACCCCATCTCTACTAAAAAATAGAAAGAAATTAATTGGCCAACTAAAAATATATATATACGAAAAATTAGCCGGGCATGGTGGTGCATGCCTATAGTCCCAGCTACTCGGGAGGCTGAGGCAGGACGATCGCTTGAGCCCAGGAGATTGAGGTTACTGTGAGCTAGTCTGGACAACAAAGTGAGACTCTGTCTCAAAAAAGTAAAATAAAATAAAATACTTAGCACCGTGCCTGGCAAGCTCAGGTGCGCCACACATTGGTAGTTTTCATCATTATATTATTAACGAGAACTGCATCGTAACCTCAAGAAAAAGAATGAGTAAAAGGGTGTTCAAACACACCCATAAAGAAATGCAAATTTAAGCAAAAATACTCCAGCCTTCTTTCATCCAGCGGATTAACAAAAGTCAAAGTCTGACGGTGCCATGACTCACTGGAGATGAATGTTCTTCCTGCACCCTTGGTAGAAATATAAACTCCTACCGCCTCTAGCTATCAAACTGTTAGACTGGCAACTGCTTTGCTGCTGGTATCCCACTTCCGAGAATGGATCCAGGTCATAGCCACCCCACACAAATTTGCAAAAACATAGACAGTAAGGTTTTCATAGCAGCACTGTTCACGATAATAATAAAAGGTTGGGAACATCTCTATGTCCATCAGTAAGGAAATAATTTCTGAAATTATTTGCATTCATCTAACAAAAAAAAGAAAACCACATGTTTGTTTAAAAAAAAATTTGCCTGGCAGAGAGCTTTGTGTGTGCTGACAGGGTACCTCCCCAAGAGGTACTATGAAGTGAGGAAGTCAAGTCAACTGAATACACGTTAGCACATTACCCAACTCGTCTCAGCCCAGCCCTCAGAACCGAAGCTTTTCAACCTGGTCTACTTCTTCCTGGTCAGTTTCTATCCTGCCACAAAGTATGGGCAGGTGCCATGGGGATCGTGTTTACTGCTATGTTCGCAAGACATAGAAGGTGCTCAAATGTTGGTGACAAGGTCAGAATGCCCCCAAGGCAGAGACATCATTTCAGCAGTTGGACTGGAACTTTCCAACAAATGGAGGCTCCACCACCCAGGCAGAAGATACTTTGTCACCAGCCACTCCCGGTACCTATCATGGCATTTGTAGATCACACAGAACCTTGTGGAGGACCTCGCCCACTGCAAAACATGCTTCGACCCCCTTGCAACATTAAAAAAAGAAGAACAAAAATCAGAGTCTAAAGTGATTTTTTAAAAAAACTACAGAAATGTGAACAAATCTTACCTGTTTCTTCTGGTTTGATCCACAGAATAAATCTGCTTTCTCAGCCAACTGGAAAGAGATTTTAGATGAGAGAGAGAAAGTTAGAAAATAGTGCAAGTTTGAGTTCTATAGGCTGGACACAAAAGAAACAGGAACAAAAAGGAGGGCTTTTCCAATGTTCTGCCAGGCACAGCTTGGGAAGCAGTTTTCTCCTGGTCACTGGAGAACCCCCTGTGAGCCCAGATCTCAACCCAAAAAGACTGGATTTCTTTACATTAATAATTCCCTCTGACAATAGTCATTAACCCACCCCCCCCAAAAGTTGGTAAGAAAAATGGGACAAAGCAGAAAGCTTTGGTTTGCAGGGGGGGTGGAGAATAACTCACACCCCACCCCACCCAGACACCCATGAACTTGAAGAGACAGTACTAAGAAGGACTTCTTCAACCCAGGAGGGAATGATAGGTAGAAAATTCCAGAACTTGTGTCCACCTGTCCTTTGATCATTCTGCTTAATCCCTTACTCAATCTTTCAAGAAGGAAGCACACCTGGTTTCCCCTCCCAACATGCATCACCAGTGGGTATTTCTATCTCAGTTCCAATGCACTGCTCGTGCCAGAGGGCCAAGGCTAAAGACCAGCATAGAAAGAGGCTCTCGCTTGAAACACCGAAGAGCCCATGCCACTATTGGGCACCCACTGTGCACAAGACACCCAGAGAGCCTCCAAGATGCAATGCCCCATTTTTCTTTCCTTCAGCCCAGGCTGGCTAAAGGCAGCAGAGTAAAGGAGTGAGCAGGCACAGAGGAAAACAGGGAAAAGCCAAGTACCTCTCAATCATGGTGGGCGTGGATGCATTCATCACTTCTTGGTGCAAGATTTTCAAGCCAGAGAGCCACTTAAGTGCATCTTCTTTAGAGTCAGCTGGGGTGGGCAAAGGGGAACGGAAAGGCTGTGTTAATTCCTGGGAAGACCCCCGCGTGGAGACCCCAGCCCCATATATATATATATATAAAGATGGCAGAAGCCTGTGCTGCTTCCTAGTTGTGCAGGAGACAAAGAAATCATCTCCTCCTCACCTCCATGGCTCTGAGACCTGCTTTCTGTCTGAGGTGAGGCCACACGCTCGTGATGGACTTTGCGCCACATGGGGTGACAAGTGGGCTATTTCCGGTGCCAAACAGAGCCGGCTAAGAGTGGAGGGAGTCGTGGGAACCATCACTGTCCTTACTACCGAATAGCAGCTAATGCCCTCTGAGCACTCGCTACGTATACCCTAGACGCTGTTCCAAGTGCTTTTCCAGTATTTACCTAATCCTGAACAAGCCCACAAGGGAAGTACTATTATACTCCCACATAGCACACGGGGGAGCCAAGTACAAGACAGGACCGGTGACGTGCTCAAGACCGGTGACCAGCTCAGAGCGCACGCTCAGAAGATGCTTGGCGACGGGATGGATGGGAAATTAGCAAGAGCTATTCCACCCTGAATTACACGTCCCATATTGCCAGCTGTCACGGCTTCCCCCACTTTGGTCTATTTTAATAGCAGTGTTTTCCTCTTTCATCAGTCGTAACTGCACACACACTTCTGGGTTGGTAAAGACCAGGACTGGACCTGAGAGCGACTACAAGCTCCTGCCCCGGAGCTAAGTGCCGGAGCGTTTTCACAGCTCTCGTTCTCGTCTCTCAGAGGCCTCTTTGCTTTTTGGTGGCTTCACAGGGTTGGCGAGAAATCTCACCTGCAGATATATGCATCTGTGTGTGTTCACATGCATGTGCACCGCGTGCATGTGTGTTCACATGTGTGCAGTGTGTGCATGCATGTTCGCATGTGTGTTCGTCTGTGTGCAGTGTGCGGGTATGTATGTTCACGTGTATGTTCACGTATGTGCACGTGTGTGCATGTGTGTGGTGTGCGATCTCAAGACAGTTCCTTCAGATAAGGGTCAAGTTCGCTGAGGGAAGTCTGCCAAGAAGAAGGCAGGTTGCACTTTTCGCCCAGCAGGGCCTGGCCTTCAGTGAGAAAACCATCTACCCACCATTTATTCAGCTCTCAGCATGAGCCAGGCAGACACGGGAGACAGGCATGATTATTCTCCCCATTTCACAGCTGAGCAAACTGCAGCTCAGAGAGGTTAAGTCACTCGCCCGAAGACGCACAGCTACAAAGGGGCAGGGCCGGGATTCAGAACCACGGTGCCCGGAACGCACGTTAGTGGCCAGGCAGGTGTGAGCATCCCGCCGCTGGAGAACTTCCTCAGAAGAAAACCGAGGCAGAGGGAGGGAGAGAAGGCAGGAGCAGGCACCCACCTGCCAGGCTGAGCGTGCCGAGGACAAACTGGGTGCCGTACAGGATGGTGAAGCAGCAGTCCTCCTTCTGGCGGGCGGCTTTCGCACGCTCGAAGTCTTTGGAATTCTTCCCTGGGCGGATTTCCTTTATTTCCATGATATCCACTGAAAAGAGATGAACATGAGCTGATCAGAAGGTGCAGTTCGAGTCCCCTGAGGACGGAGCCGCAGGCCGGCACCCCACGCCAGCACCCCACGCCCAGTCCGGCCCGGCCCCTTCGCTCCCCGGAAGGGACCCCAAGGCCATCTCTGTCCCCGGGTCCCCATCCGGGCCCAGGGCCCAAGGCCCACTCCTTGTGGAAGCGGACAGGAGGCCAACAGCCCACCGGGCATGTGCTGCCACCCACAAGCCCTCGGCGTGTGAAGGGTTTGGGGTTCCCCTCACCCCCTTCCGTAGATGGACACCTTGTCAACTAGGACAATGGACTTCTGTGACACAACTCAGATTGGAAGAGAGCACAGAATACTCTGCCAAAACAACAGACCGAACCGACACTCGCTGGCTGGGGACCACTCCAGACGACAAGAAAGGTCCAGCTGTCTTACTAACCTGACCTATGGCCTTTGCCAAGTCCCAAAGCCACGAGTGCTCCCGGCTCAATTCAAGGGGGAAAAAAAAAGACAGCCCTGAGCAACTGCTTTACAAAAAAAAAAGAGGCAAAATCCAGAGTGGGAGATGGTCACAGGGATTCCAGAGACCACAGGGCCCACTGAGAGGGCACAACTGTCACTCTGGTGGCCTCTAATGGGCCGCCATGGGCCTCTAATGGGCCTCTAATGGGCTTCGGTTTTATGCCTCGTACAGCCACCTGCCCCTGACTGTGGGCTGTCTCCATGACCTGTTGTAACTATTTTTTTTTTCTGAGACAGAGTCTCACTTTGTTGCCCAGGCTAGAGTGAGTGCCTGGGCGTCAGCCCAGCTCACAGCAACCTCCAACTCCTGGGCTCAAGCAATCCTCCTGCCTCAGCCTCCCGAGTAGCTGGGACTACAGGGGCATGCGCCACCATGCCGGCTATTTTTTTTTTATATTATATATATCAGTTGGCCAATTAATTTTCTTTCTATTGTTTGATAGATAGTAGAGACGGGTTCTCGCTCAGGGCTGGGTTTTTGAACTCCTGTGACCTTGAGCAATCGCCCCCCTCGCTCCCAAAGCTAGGATTATCAGCGTGAGCCACAGCGCGGCCGACTGTCCTGGGCGTAAGTTTAAGTGTTGTCGTGGGTTGGCTCCCTGGAAGCTGAGCCTGAGACAGGTATTCTTGTACAAGCATTTACTGGGGGGTACAGGAGTGGCATGGGGCAGGAGAAGAAAGCTAAACAAGGCTGTGGTCCCCATGGGGGTGTGGGGGACAGGCTTTAGGTTGGTCACAGGGTGGGGAAGGAGGGTCTGGAGCATAAATCCCACCAGAGAAGTGAGTCCTCCGGAAGACCAGCCTCTAGTGCTCTCTGCAAGTCAGTCCCTGCCTGCCGGCGGGCAGCACATACAACCTCCAGGTGAGGCGGCTGCCTTCTGGTGACAGCAATGCTCAGGAGAAGGGGCAGGTGTGAGCCACAGCAGCCACCACCCCCAGCAGCTGGGAGAGGCCACAGGCCTGGTGATAGGATCTGCATGGGGCACGACTGCAGCCCCCGCACTGACCCGTTATTCCTGACAATGCCACGGTGAGGCAGGTACGACGGCCGCCTCTATTTCACAAAGGAACTGAGACGTGGACAAGTGAAGTACCTTGGCCAGGGTCACCAGCCAGCACGTGGAAGAGCCAGGATTTGAACCTTGACTCGTGGCCAAATACACACACACACACACACACACACACACACACACCCCTGACTCCTGCCCACATGGGATCTCATTCAAGTGGCTTCTCAACACAGCCTGCCTCTATGTCTCTTCATCAACCCAACCCTTATTTTCACATCTGTCCTATACGGTTCCTCGCGAGCGCTAATCGCTACTAGTAAGTATTGATTGGTTTCCCTGCGTGTGTGCTCGCTCCTCCTCTGAGCCCTGGGAGAACAGAGATCTTGTCTGTCTCACTCACAAGTGAGTTCTAGAATTACAGGTTATCAGTTCCCTCTCTCTGTATACATATGTATATACACGTGCATATATATATATATACACACATATACACACACACATATATACATATATGTACATATAAGACAGCCTCAAGTTACAGTGAACATAACATACAATCTATCCATTTAAAGTGTACAATTCGATGGTTTTTAGTATATGCACAGATACGTGCAACTATCACCAGTGAGTATTAGAACATTTTCATGACCACAAGGGGAAACCCTGAGCCCTTTAGCTACCACTCCCCGTCTCCTCTCATCCCCACTAGCCCTAAACCACCACTAACCTACTTTCAGTCTCTACACATTCTCTATTCTGAACGTTCAGTATGCATGAAAACGAAATATGTGCTCTCTTATGTCTGGCTTCTTAGCATAATATTTTTAAGGCTCGCCTGTGTTGTAACATATACCAGCACTTCATTCCTTTGCAGGGCTGAACAATATTCACTGGACATATAACACGTTTATCCACTCATCAGCCACTGGTGGACATTTGGGCTGTTTCCACATTTTGGCTGCTATGAACATGCATGGGCAAGTTTTTGTTTCAACACCTGTTTTCAACTCTCGGGTATATCCCTACAGTGTGTGTTTTGTGCACACATTTTCCAATTAAAATAATGCCTGATGATTTTAACTAACAAAGATTAGAAACTTATCTGTACTTATTAACTATTATCTTTTTTAATTATCAATGCAGTTGAATCAAGCTGGACACAACATGGAAAAAACTCCATGACAACTTGGGTACATAGGAGACTAGAAGTATACATCTGTGTGTGTCCACATGTACATGCATATATTGTATACAGACATCCATCACTATGTTAATTCTCACCATCTGAATATCCACTATAAATTGTAAACATTTTTTACCCAAAAAGCGCCATCCAGATCACAGATCTGCTACCGTAGGTTCACTTGCAGGCATCGATGAAAACCGTGAAGGTGTGTATCAGTCTGCAAGAGGAGAGGAGCATCCCCAATGCTCCCGAAGTTGAAAATCACCCTGCAGCAAACCTAGTGTCTCACCCACCCTACTGAGTCCTTCTTGAGTCCTAGTGTTTGCTTCTGACAAGCAAACTACCGACCAGGTCCCAATTTACTTATTTTTTTTTTAGAACAAAGCTGCTAACCAACAGAGTCCAATTTAAGTGACACATTTGGTATTTTTACCCGATTATTTCATTGTTATTTGCATTACAGTACAAGGTAGAGACAGAGGCTAGAAGAAAACCATAATTCAGAACCATTACTGTAGAGTATCCTATGCACACTTTGCAAACATGCCCAGTAATGAGTCATTAAAGCATCGAATAAGTAGGTGTTTGTTGTTGCAGACGTGTCATATTTATGCAAAAAAAAAAATGGTGAGCTGTTTTTGGGTCCTTACGAGTGTTAAGCAACACAGAGGAAACTGGGGTGTTTAATCAGCTGGTGATGCATCAGCATTTGTAGCCACGCAACACGTGTATGGTATCATGATCCTAAAAAGCTGCCCTCCAACACGGTTTGGGGAACACAACAGATTCAGCGCAGGACGAAAGCCACTACCTGTAGGTGTGTATGTGCGTGTACAAGCAAGAGAAAAAGTACAGAAGGTTTCCCCCAACGTGCTGACAGCCAGCGTTCCTGGAGAGACAGTGGCGGGGGAGCGAGGGGGCTGCATCTGCCCCGGTTGGGATTTGTGCCAAGGGCTCGCGGTCACCAGGACACTTGGTTCCAAAGCAGGCTGTGGCCGGCAGAGCTCGGCCCGTGCACCCTTGCATGGCAGGGCTCCACGGCCGGGCTTCCTGCTTGAAGAAGTGAGATAACCCAGCCGCAGAAATGAGGCCGTGTGTCTGTACAACCCCACCCCTCCCAGCCGCGCCTCGGGTCTGCCCCGGGCCCAGCCACTGCCCCCCACACCGAGGCTCCAAGGCCAGCACCCTGAGCCCAGGCACCCTCCCTCTGCCCTCCCTCCCCACCCACCACCCTGCAAGTGCACCCATGGGGGGGTGGGGTCAGCCCCCTTCAGACTTCTCGAAGCTTCCTCTGGCTCCCTGCCTTACACCACCAGCCCCTTTGCTAGCTGGGCTGTGACCCTGTCCTTCGAACTCCTGCTTCCTTCCTCCTCCTCCCACCCCTGATTCGTCACCCCTCTCGGGCTCCCTGCACCCCTGGACACCCTCCTCCCCCACCCCGCACTCATGCCAAGTTCCCACACTGACCTCAAGGGGCACCATCCGCCACCACGCTGAACAAAAAGTTCTCCAGGGAAGCGACATAGCCAAAGGGGACAAACACAGCCAGAGGCTGGGGCACCTTCCCACACGCACCCCCACCCTCCAGCCAGGCAGGGAGTCACCGAGCCCCCCACTGAGGGCCGGGGACGCCACAGTGAAGCAGACGCAGGCCTGCCCTCGGAGAGCCCAGAGTCTGGGCGGGCAGGGTGGACCCTTGTCCAAACCAGCACACGTACACATAAATCCACAGTCTACACTAGGACTTCTCCCCAGCAAGGGGAGGATGGACTTCTCCCAGGGTGTGCATCCTCGCTGAGTTGTTTTGTTTTGTTTTGTTTTGATGAGACAGAGTCTCACTATGTCGCCCGGGCTAGAGTGTCATGGCGTCAGCCTAGCTCACAGCAACCTCAAACTCCTGGGCTCAAAGCGATCCTCCTGCCTCAGCCTCCTGAGTAGCTGGGACCACAGGCATGCGCCACCATGCCCGGCTAATTTTTTCTATATATTGTAAGTTGTCCAGCTAATTTATTTCTATTTTTTAGAAGAGACGGGGTCTCGCTCTTGCTCACGCTGGTCTCAAACTCCTGACCTCGAGCTATCCTGCCGCCTCGGGCTCCAGGAGTGCTAGGATTACAGCTGTGAGCCACTGCGCCCGGCCCATCAAGTAATTCTTAAATTATTCATTGCTTTAGTGTCACTTAAATTTGGTGTCTTCTCCTTCCCGCTGGAAACGAAACGAGAATAATCCCAGGCGTGGCATACAGCAGCTGACTCTAAATAGTTCCCACCTGTTGTTATGTCTTCA